GTTTCAGCTCAAAATACTCCACAGATCATTTATTATATCATTTTGAAAATGCCTATTTTGAGTGGTAGCAGAAACATGCTGTTTTTCGTGCCTGTCTCTTTAAATGCAAATGAGCTGCTGCTCCACGCCCCCTTTTCCAAAATAGAGCTGCACCATTACAGCTGGTACCTGCTAAAAACATCTGTTTTTTTCTTATTTTGGTTCTAATTTTAAACCATATTACTTTAAACATCTGATATACGGTTTTCTGAGAGCACACATCCGAAGCACACGGACAAAAAGCGGCTGTCACAGCATGTGAGTACTAAACTAAGTTCTCATCCCCACACAAGTTTATGTTAAAAACACAAAAAAAGAGTTACAAAAACAGTGGGTTATGTCTGTGAAGGTAAACAGCTGGGAAATAAATTGCATGTTTATTTTAGATCTGTGTGGCAGCAGCAATATACAGTAAATAACTCAATACATCCACTGCTGTCTTGTCTCCTCTGAGGCTGTAAATAGTGTTTGTGCTCATCTGTGCAGCCAAAGACAGAACAGTTAGCAAGTTTTGCTCAAACTTTCACCATGGCATTAGAACTGGTACACCGTTTTCGCGTGCGAAATCAAAATGATGGTGCCACGGGTGGAAACTTACAGATTAAGGGGCGGTAATATTATAATGAGATCCCTTTGCCACGTCACCAAGGGAGCGAAATCAGACGTGCTCATTTTTTCAGACGCTTGCAGAAAAAGGCTTACCAAAACAAAGTTACTGGGTCAATCTTTTTCACAGTTCCTTGGTTGGTAGATGCACCGGAGACCTGATTATAGCACTTAAAACCTGGAAAAGTCAGATTTTCATGATATGTCACCTTTAAACTGATGCTAAAATAAAATGCACAAAATGTTTGACTTCGGTTTTTGAACTGTGACCATAGAAAAAAGCAAACCCCAGCTATAATAACAATCCTTTTGCTCAGAGTTATAACAACATTTCATTACTGCAAACAGGCTAAAACAAACTCTGCTGAACACCATAACGGAGCCAGTGATTGCATTGCGTGTTTGAGGTGACTTTGTCAGGTCAGGCTGAAATTAAAGCTTCGCGCAAATAGAAAAGAAGGGCCATTGGCTTTTCACCTCCGACCTACTTTACCAGGGGTCACTGGCTTGTGAACTTTAAGACCAGACAGACAGG